GATATAAACAGCTTTTTATAAGGTAAAAATAATAAAACAAGGTCTTTGTCTGCAATGATTAGACATGTTTTTAATAATTGTCATTAGTGATTATCTCAATTTCGGCTAAAAGAATTGACAAAATCCTACACACTGTGCCTTAAGACAACAACAGTGGGTCGTGGCTATCTGCAGGGAAAACTTAGCTATAAAAGCTCACACTCACGTTTGTAGTCGGCATTTCAAACCTGAGGATAATCAAGAGCCAGTGTCAGAAATGAGAAGATGGAGATAAAAGAAGGGAGCTGTACAATTAACCCCTTCACTGCCAAGACCCGAGAGAGTGGAACCACCTCTAGAGGACAGCTAGGAGGAAGCTAACACAACAGCCAGTACAGACTAGACATTCGGATCATGATTATGCTGCTACTCCAGACTCTGCAGTTGTGGATTTAGTGCTGGAGGTAAATGTTATAATCCAGGAGGAAATCCACCAGCTACGGGAAGAGACTGATGCTGAAGCAGCTGTTCTTCATTCACCATTTTACTGCTTCTGACAAGAACATTATATTCTTCACAAGGTAGGTAGGTGTGTGTGTGAGTGAGTGAGTGATGCAGAGTATGAAATTATTTTAGGCAACTTTTTCACGAGTTTTATGCAGAAGCAAAAACTTGTTAGAGTGTATATTACAGTGTAGACACAACCTGAGCACCCCTCCCCTCCTGTATCGAGAGTAGCCGGACCTCTGCCTGAAAATCATTCTGTTTTCAATGCACCAACGTCGGGGCAACATGATCCAAACCACACAAGTAGCCCATCAGTTTAAAGCCCAGACTCTGCTCTTTCCAACAATACAAGTGTCACAGCTCTACGTGAAAAATCCACAGAACAAGCAGCCAAGGAATAGAGCAAAAGACTTAATTCTGGACGTCTTACCTTTGTTTTTTTATGGGTTTAATCCACTTTAGAGTATTTTTTTCCACTTGGCTGGACTTTTATCAACTTGTATGTCTCCTGTGTTAATATTGGTACATGTAATATGCAAATCCTGTACTGTGGACAGCAGCCACCAGGTGAAAAAAAGCCTACGCTAACACAGTGTTGCTTACGAACCGGAAGTGCTAGCAGGAAAGTCCGTGGCGTCTAGGCTACACGCACATGCTGTGTTCTATTCCAGAATACCTAAATGTTAACTTCAACATTTAACTTTTACATTTAGATTTAGGATTCAATATTTAAATATACTTTTAACATTTAAAATGGAACATTTTGTAAAAAAAAAAATGAGCTAAATGTAAGAACAGTGTTTAAACATTTCATTTTACACTTGGCGCCCATATGTGGCAGTGTTTAAATTCACATCCTTCATTTGATTCTCAGAAGTCTGATGCTCAAACCTGCTGACTCATCAAAACAGATAATAAATAATGATTTTGTAAAATACTTCAGTACTTGATTTAGCTTCATCCTGTTTATCGGCCCCTAAATGGTCAAACAGCCCTCTGGCGAACACGTCTTCCTCTGCAGACAAACAAAAACAAAGTTTATAATCATGTAAGTTTTCAGCATCATTAGAATTATCATCGTTTAATAAATGACTTGGAATTAGTCCTATTTGTGACTAAATTAAAGATTGTCCTGTTAAATCGGTTCATTTTATTTTGAAGGGTAATTAATGCTTCTATGTCAGCGGTGCGTACCCGTCACCCCGTCACACGTCTCCCTGCAGACCCCGTCCTCCTCGAAGTTGTTCCCGTTGTCGTCGCAGCCGCCGTACGTGAACTCGTGGCACTTCCTGTCCAGAGGGTCGTAGTACCACCGGGGGAAGTGCGCCCGGCACGGACCGGTGCGGGGCGGCTGCGTGCACCGGACTGAGGAGGGAAAAGGGGAGGGATCAGGGTAACGCTTGGCTAACACTGCGACCCGAGACGACACTGACCTGTGCTCTCGCTCACGTTGATCCTCAACAGCTGGCCCAAGGTTTGGTCCACTGAGGAGGAGGAAGACAGGGTTTCACTTAACCTGAGATTATGATTTCCTGCAATGATGTCATTGTTGTGTTAATGCGTGAAGCAACACGTTGTGCGTCTGTTTCTGTTACATGTTGTGCATCTGCTCTCGTCGGAGCCGTCGAAGCAGTGCTGCACCCCGTCACACTCCAGACTCCTGTCCAGGCAGCAGTCACCCTCACAGGTCAGCTGGTCGGGGCGGCACGCCGAGCCGTCGCACACCTCTGTTCTCACACACAGACACACACACACATTAAACCATCTGACCAGGCGACACACTGACAACACGTTGCAGGACTTACTTGCATGTGGAACGATCAATCTCTCTGACGCCGCTGTGGATAAAAACACACAAGCATCATTCGCAGCTGCTGTGTGTGTATATGTGTGTGTGTGTATGTGTGTATTTGTGCGTTACCTGTCACTCCTTTGCAGGCGGCCGAACACTCGTCAAAAGACAGGAAGTTGTTCTTGTTGGGCTTACAGCCTCCAAACGTGAACATCTCACAGCTGCCCTTCGTCACGTTGTAACGCCAGCGAGGAAACGCAGCGCGACACGGGCCCACCTTCGCCGGCGCCGTACAGTACACTGAGGGGAGGACAGGTGCGTGACATCGCTTCCTGTTACCTGCGACACTAATGCAACAGGGTGTGTGGGAGTTTTACGGGGAGTGCCGCAGTGTTGACACGGCTAAACTGAGGCGGCGGGTCGTGTTTGCACAGTTTTAACAGCCTGAGCCGGGCTCAGCTACAGAACCGAGCCGGGTCAGAACCGAGCCCGGTCAGACCTGGGATCAACGATCCATAAATAAAAATCATCGGACAAGCCTCAACTCCTTTCAGCACATTTCGGTTAACACAAACGTCAAGACAACAAAGTCTATCTCACAGAACAGGTCTCTGCTCTGTGCGAGTGTGTGTGTGTGTGTGTGTGTGTTTATGCTGCAGAGTGAGGTCATACATTTTTACCAGCAAAGTGGGTACATTTTCCCATTTCTTATTTTTACAGTTTTAGTGCGATCTACTAGTTGGGTTTAGAAGTATGGTGAGGAACAAACTAGTAATGGTTTGTTTTAGGGAAAATGTCTGGGTTAGACATAAATGCAGTTACAAAAATGAATGGAAGTCAATACAAAGTCCTCAGTTTGATGCAAACACAAGGGAGGGTGTGTGTGTGTGTGTGTGTGTTAACGCGTGTGCAAAACCAGTCCGACCAGTAGATGAGTAAAGGCGTGGATCATCAGTGTAAGAAGACACAGAAGCTCAACAGAACCAGTCAGTCATTTTGATTTTCCTCTTTCAAATCAAACATCAGTGAAACTCATCTGTTGTTCAGTCCTGGGAAAATTAAAGTTCCTCTTTCTGCTCCACAGTTCTAATATATAAAAAATCATGACGTAATAAACATCTGGAAAAATCCTGAATAAATGTCCGGTAGTAACCTAAGAAGCCTAGGAGAAGTACAAGAGTATGAATATGTATCCCGGACGAGCCCCCAATTGTTACTGGTCTTCAAGTTTTAGATTTATATAAATCTAAAAACAACAGAAGGTGTTATTAAAGAAAAACTGGATCCAGCCCCTGATCCACCACTTTGTAGACCCTCTTTTACATAAAGACCTCTCAGTGGTCCTCTGTAGAACTGTTAGTCTCTCATGTGGCTGTGAACTTTTAACCCATTTGTTTTTCCAACACTGGATAAGAAACTAAAACGTTTCTGCTCAGCTCTCAGAAGGTTCAGTCTGGTTCTGGTTCTTGACTCATTGCAGAGCCTTGAGTATTTTCTTTCCGACCGGTTCTGTTGTAGATCAGGAAACACTGTGCTGACCGCTGGGTGGAACTGTTTGCTGCAGTGCATTCTCCAGATCTCGTGGTTCTTTTAGATGAATGAGTTGTTTTTTTTTTTAAAAAGACATTTTCTCCTGCAACACTTCCAAGTGAGCCTTGACCTTTAACGGTGACCTCTGGGGTCAGAGGTAGAGCTAATTCCTCTGATCACTGCACAGTCTGACCTTTGGGGGTAAATTTCTAACTTGTGAATATTTTTTTATCTCTGGAGAATGATGGACCCTGACCTTATTCAGACAGGCCATCACAGAATGAGCTTTACTTTTTACAGGATTTTTAACAAACTGTCAAAACATTTTAAAATATAAAGATATCTGTTAAATTTAAATAAATCATCAACAAGCTGCCAGGAAAAGTGAGGGTTGGGTTTTAGTAGAACAGAGAAATTAACCTTAAATTATAAACCTTAGATGTGGCCTGCATTCCCCATGAGCACTTACAGCTGGACTGCTCCGGGCTGAGGACCAGGACGGTGACCTTGCTGCTGGCGGACTGTCCGTGGGAGTCGGTGACGGTCAGCTGGAAGACGTACGAGCTCGGCTGCAGGTTGGAGAGCCTCACCTGGTCAGGTAGTTCTGTGTTCTGCAGAATCCCAGTAAAAAACACAAGTTTAATGTTGAAACCCCTGAATTTGTGTAGGAAGAATGAGCTCACACCTGATCAGAAACAAGATGGCAGATCTTATTCTGAAATCACTGATCAGGTTGAAAAAAAAACCCCCACCTAAAACCACTAAATCACTTTCAGGAAACATTTTGTCGATAGAAATCGGGAGTGAAGCCCCGCCCCTTACCTCCATCAAGATGCTGGGGTCTCCGCTCTCCCTCGTCCAGACGTATTTGGTGATCCTCCCGCCATGCAGCGCCTGACTCTCGCTGCCGTTGAGCAACACGGTCTCACCTGGCTGGACGACGACATCACGGCCGGCGTTGGCTATGGGCGGAGCCTTCTTACCTGGACACACGCAGTGATGTCATAAGGACTGAGGTGGTGCAGGTTGGAGTTGATCGTCTTTGTTTTCGTTTCTCATCCCAGTGAAGTGAAGTGAAAACCAGATTTTCTGGTTTCTGGATGTTTGTTGAAAAGATTTCTTTAAAGTTGTCTTTCCAAACCTCCAAATGTTCCTGTGATCTCCTAAAGCAGTCTGATAATCTGACTACAAATAAACAACATGACGACATCCAAACAAACATGGAATTTGGCCTTTATTTTGAAAAACAGGAAATGGGGATGATTCTTCGACCACTTTATTTAGAACTCATGAGTTAAACAAAAACTAATGTCGCCATACCCATCGCTGGGACACTTTACTTCATTTCAACTATAAACAGGAAAAGAAGCCTGGAATATGGAAAGCCAAGAGGGACAAAAACAGTCACATGATGTTGATGCACTTTTCACATTTTTGCATTAAAAACTAAAAGTTTGAGCTCTCTCAACAAAATTAAGATCAACCAAACAAGGTTAAAGCACAAATTTTCCACGTCAACATATCTGTCACCAGTTTCACCTCAGTTTGAACCTCGTAACGACCAATAAGAAGCAACGATCAAAGGTTAAACCACAAAACTTTTCCATAATTAAAGAGTGCCGGTGTTTCTGTACAAATCAACTCAAAACACTTATGGCAAATGTTACAAAAGTTTGAATTAAACCCAGCTTCTTCTAGTGTTAATTCTGCTGTGTGCGGGTGATATTTTCTCTGCAGCAACACCTACAGCTCAGAAGAAGAACTGCGGCGAGCAGTTTAAACTATATTTAGAAATATTTGTCTAATTCTCATGTAAAGACCAAACAGTAAAGCCGGCGCACATCATACATTTTTACTACCGCAGCAAACGTGCTTTTATGTTTATCCTCAACATGTTGGTTAAACCGCATGTTCAAACTGCAGCCCTTGTTTTTACCTCAAACATCCAGCCATGACATCATAACTCACCTGGTCCAACGTGCTCCTGTGAACTGAAATATTAGTTTTAAAATGCAAAAATAACAGAGATAGTTTTACACCAGATGTGTCATTTCTAAAACCCTGACGTGTTGAATGTTGTGAGGAAACTAAATAAATGAATTCTTCCAAAGGGGTGCCCGAACATGTTCCCTGAAGGGGCCAAAATGAAAATCGATCTGAGGGCTGTGGGCCAAATGCAATAATATAAAGCATGAAATGCAAATACTTAAGTTTTTTTCTTATTTTTTTTTAAAGATTAAGCAGCCCACTTTTTTTTTCAGAAAATTTGACGTACACTTGAGTGGTAAACGCTCATGGGACTTTTCATTAATTAAAATTTGAGTATTTGTGATCTTATAAAGTAGTGTTGTAGTACTTGAAACCGGTCTTGGTCTTAAGACCGGTCTCTGGGCCGGTTTTTGATGGTCTTGGTCTCGTCTAGGACTCGACAGCATTTGTACTCGGTCTTGTCTCGGAATTTTATTTCAAGACCAGTCAAGACCACAACTTCAGAAATATCACTAAACAGCCAGAATGTTGTCCAATTTATTAGTTAACATTCTTGCTTTCATTGGATTTAAAATGTAGTTACTGATTCAAATCCAAACCTCACCCATCCCCACTCTCTTCACTCGCACACAGCGCTCCCGGAAAGTGAACCGTGGTTCTCTGGGAGCGGTAAAGGATGTCTTCAAATTTTTAAGTAAAAATTTGGCTAAATTATTCATAAATGTCATTGTAAAACAACAACAACCAGGAGAAAGCGTACAGAAACTTGTAAATTCTGCAGAGCTTCACATTCAGAGACAATAGGACAACTTTTAACTTTTATCGTCACTAACGTTAACTGTCTGCCTCTGTAGCAAAATTCTTTCCTCTGCCCTCTCACAAAGATTTAGTCAATATTAGCACTATATATTAGGGGTGTAAGAAAATATTGATACACTGAAATATCGCGATATTTCATTTCCCGATACTGTATCGATATTCTAAAGCCCTGTATCGATTTTTAATTAAGGTTTAAAATGTCAACTTTCCTGCCAGCCGTTCATTTTTATGTTGTAGTTCAGCCTCTGACCACTAGTTGGCAGCAGTGAGCCAGCCATTTGGCTCCTCTACCTCGTGCTCCAGAGAGTAAGGG